AGTTACGCACCAGTCGCCAAATGGAACCTTAAGTTCTCGAGGGACGGGATGGAGATGTCGCGTTCTTGGCGCGAGTGGAGGAGTTGCGGGTGGCTTGGCATCTCAGCAAACGAGATCTGTTAGATGGAGCCATCGATCTGTTGACGGGCCGCGCATTGATCTGGCTTCGGGCAAACCGGAAGCGGGTAGATAAATTGGGATGCCTTAGTGGCCCTTTTCCGGCAACAATTCCAGCCCGCTGACTACAACGACGGGCTGTTTGATGAAATTCGGCAACGTACGCAAGGACCGGACGAACCGATGGGAATCTATTTGGCGGTAGTAGAGAATCTTTTTGACAGACTCACTTACAAGGTCCCGGAAGCAACACGCCTCAAAATCGTATTGCGGAATCTTGACCCATTCTACCAAGGTCAGTTGGGAGTCCGAACCATTAACTCGTTCGCGGAACTTTTGAAGTTTGGTCGCATGGTGGAAGCGCGGAAATCCACCATGGAATTTTTTCGGCCCCCAAAGGAGCGACATTCGCGTAGCCTTTTGGAACCTGATCTCGCCTACGTGGAAGTGGAACCTCCAAAGCCGTCAAAGGGTTCTCGAAAGCCTGCCTCTGTGGCTTCTACTTCGTCTGGTTCTGCTGGTTCCGCAGCGAAAGTCATTTGCACGAGAGTACACGGCTTTCACGGTACCAGGCCCTGGGTTGTTTCAGTATCGGCGCATGCCTTTTGGTCTCACTGGTGCTCCTGCCACTTGGCAGCGGATTGTGGATCAAATGATCGGTGCTGACCTTCAGCCTTATGTTTTTGTTTATTTGGACGAGATTGTTCTGGTTTCTCAGGATTTTGAGACACATTTGTCGTTGTTGAATCAGGTTTTTTATCGCTTGCAGAAGGCTGGAATGGTAGTTAGTATCGAAAAATGTCGTCCCCAGTTAAGATATCTAGGGTATGTCGTTGATCAATATGGATTGCGTCCGGATCCGGAGAAGGTAGAAGCCATTGTGGACATTTCTGTTTCCAGGAACGTGACTGAGGTGCGTCGATTTGTTGGTACGGTTTCGTGGTACAGGAAATTTGTACCAAACTTTTCCTCGGTACTGGAACCCCTGCGTCAGCTGACGCGTAAACGAGTTTATTTCAACTGGACGCCGGAGTGCGAAGACGCATGAAAGTCTTTGGTCACCGCTCTAATTTTGAGTTGTCCCGATTTTAGTCCTGAGTTCGTGCTCCAGTGTGATGCTTCGGCGTTTGGCGTTGGAGCGGTTTTGAGTAAAAAATTTGAAGACGGTGAAAAGCCTGTTTGTTTTATATCTCGTTCACTTTCCCGGGCTGAGCGCAATTACTCGACCACGGAGCAAGGGTGTCTTGCGGTGATTTGGGGGGGTAGAGAAGTTGAGGCATTATTTAGAGGGTGCTCGGTTCACGGTTATTACCGACCATTATAATTTACTTTGGCTCCACCGTCTAAGACCCACAAGGTCGCCTAGTTCGATGGACGTTGAGACTCCAACTATACGACTTCACCATTGTGCATAGAAAAGGGAACGAGAACGTGGTACCTGACATGCTGTGGCGTTCCGTGCCAATCTCCCTAGATTCCGTGGACGCGGTTTCGAATGATTTTCGGGCGACCACCGATAAGTGGTATCAGAAGATGTTGATTTCGGTCGTTGAGAATCCTAGGAAGTATGCGGCCTACGGTGTGGAAAACGGGCTGCTGTACAAGTACATCAAATGCAGTCTCCCTGAGTTCTATGGGAAGTCCGATTTTTGGAAACTGGTGGTGCCGAAGGATCATCGGAAGTCGATTTTGGAGCGTTGTCACGATATCCCCGCCGCTGGTCACGTGGGACTCTTTAAGACCTTTTGGAAGGTTCGCCACCAGTATATCTGGCCGAAGATGCAGGCTGACATAGTTCGATATGTCAAAGGATGCCGCACCTGTGCGCGATATAAGATGAAACGGAAAGCACCGGCCGGGTTGATGGCAGGCAGATCTACTATCACCGCTCCTTGGCAGTTGATTAGCCTGGACTTTATTGGACCCTTTCCACGCTCAACACAGGGTTATACATACACGCTTGTGGTAACTGACCACTTCACCAAATATGTTTTGTTGTTCCCGATTCGGGCTGGCTCAGCCAAGATTCTGTCTAGATGTGTCGAAGAAGGAGTGTTTTTAGTATATGATGCCCCAAAGTACCTAGTTTGCGATAATCGCACGTAGATGCGCAGCAGGGAGTTTCGTAAACTCTGCGAGAGTTAGGGAGTCACGTTGTCGTATACGCCTTTGTATTACCCGCGATCTGATCCCACGGAACGGGTAAATGGTGTCGTGAAGACAATGATCGCAACGACCGTGAAGAAAGATCATCGCCATTGGGCCGACAATCTCGCCGCAATAGGCTGCGCCATTCGATCTTCCTGACACGAGACTACTGGCTATAGTCCATATTTTGCCAATTTTGGGAGGGAACACAAACTTGTCGGGACTGACTTTGATAACTCGGTATCGGAGCCTGGAAACGACTTGACGAGTCAAATCCGCAAAAGACAGGTAGGATTCGAACAGCTGTACACGAACATCGTCGCGAAATTGAGATCTGCCTTCGTCCGCAAAAGTATTCTTATTATTATTATTATTGTTAGTTACGTTGGCCAACAGGTATTACAACCCAATTACAGACCAACGGGAAAAACTTTGGCTTTAGATGAAACAACTCTGTTAACAACAGCTAATATTACTGCAGTACCCATTGGGATACAGAGACACAGCGGATTTAGAAATACGTATACTATATAACCACATACCAAATTAAAGAAGCCTAAAGTAACTACCTAAAAATATCAAAAACAGGGACAAGATCTCGATGCCAATCTGGGAACCAAAAAGTATAACCTATCAAGTAGATTAGGACAGTCAAATTGAAAATGAATAAGTTTTCGCAGAAAGGACATGGACGCATTTACTCGTCTACTATCTAGGCTTTGAAATTGAAAGCGTTCTAAAAGAAGGGTATGAGAGATACCTCGCTCAGGATATATGCCGTCAACTCTGAATACTAAGTATTTAAGAAACCGACGTTGTATTTTCTCCAAGGATTCAATATGAATACGGGAAAATGGGGACCAAACCACACCAGCATACTCCAGCTTAGAGCGGACATACGCAAAGTAAAGAGTACGAAGGCAGCTAACGTGATTAAAAATTTTACCACATCTCATAATAAAACCAAGAGATTTTAGTGCTCCTGAACAAATGTTACTTATATGGTCAGCGAAAGTAAGCCTCGAATCGAATGTAACACCCAGATCACGAAAGGTATCAACTCTAGTTAGTATACCGTTATTAAGGGTATAACCATACGATATTAAAGAGGTGTTGTTAGTAAACGACATGATGTAACACTTAGCATAATTGACAGGTAGTAGATTGGAATTACTCCAGTTGTGAAATGTGTGAAGATCATTTTGTAGTGACAAGCAGTCTTCGAATGAAGTAACTTCTCTGAATATTTTTAGATCATCAGCGTACATGAGAACACTTGATTTGATATCCCTAACAACGTCATTGATGTAGATAACAAAAATAGCGGCCCCAATATAGAACCCTGTGGGACTCCAGAAGAGACAACAGTTTTGGAGGATTCATAGCCATTATAATTTACAACTTGAACTCTGTTGGATAAATAGGAACTGATTAAGTCAAACAGGGCACTTGAGAAGCCAAAATTTCGCAGTTTTACAAGTAAAAGACCATGATCTAATTTGTCAAATGCCTTAGAAAAATCTGTATAGGCCACATCCACCTGGCGTTTAGCATCAAGATATCAGCCACAAACTGCGTGAATTCGCAGAGATTGGAGGTGATAAATCGTCCATTAACAAATCCATGCTGAGACACAGTGATTAAACTCCGGGTATTAAATGAGATAAATTTATGTAGAATAGTCTCAAAAATTTTCGCTAAATTACAGATTAACGATATAGGCCGATAATTTTCAATCATAGTTCTATTTTCAGATTTAAAGATAGGTGAGATGATAGACAATTTCCACACATCTGGGAACACACCAGTTCGAAAAATTAGATTGACTATTATCATAAGAGGAAAAGCTAAAATGGATGCACAGTCGAACAGCAGAAAAGCTGGAATCCTATCATGCCCAAATGTAAAGTTAGGTTTAATTTTCTTTAAAGCCCACAGTACTTCAGATTCAGAATTATTAGGACAGATAATATTATTACTAAACGAATCCTCTGAATAAGCGTCAGCGATAGCTGTGGGACCCTTGTTTAGATTGAAGTTCCTACAGAAATGTTCCGCAAATGCATTTACAATATCGTAAGGATTTGTTAAAAGACTGTTAGAGTATGACATCTGAGAGGGAATACCATTACAGTTCTTTAAATTGTTAACATGTGACCAAAATTTACCCGGATTAGATTTGATATTAGATTCCAAATTCAATATATAACCAGTGATGAACGTGATATCCCACTCCGCAACCTTCATGGAGTCAATTTTGCCTTACGCAGGTATCCCGCGCAAAAAATTTGGGTGGTAAATTTAAATATCGGTTGTAAGGCTATGTTATTGAACTGTCAGATGTGAAAATGCTGTTATGTTGATTGAGGTTATATTGTGGTAGTAGGATTGCATATTTAAGTTAGGTGTGCGAATTGTTGGTTTTGTTACTGACTGATTTAAATTGATTTAACAAAACCTAAACACAACACGTTATTGGTATTTCTGTGTCACTTCAACGTTAAATGTTGATTGGATGGGTTGAATTAGGGATTTACTTTTTGTGAACGAATTAACGAATATCGCGTATTAAGAGTGACTAAGGGCGTTGCACCAGTCGTGCAAAACTAATAATTTTCTTTTCTTTTGTAGATTAGTGCCTAGTGCCACTTTTTTTATATTTCCTTTTGATGATTTAGGTCTCTGATTTAGGTTAGGCCAGGTTATGTTTGTTTTCTTACATATTAGCGCAGTGATATGTGTGTGCTATGTTGTTTATTATAAAATTAAACTGTTTACATACAGGTCAAATTTATGGGCAAGAATAGATAAACTAGAATCAGTCATGAATAATTTTGCAACAGAACGTTACAGCAGGTATCGGATTTGCAGTCGTCACTTTGAACTAAAAATGTATCCACATCAGCTGTTGTGCCACCGACTGAAAGCAACAGCATATCCAACTCTTCATGTTTCAGGTGCCGTCTTATTGAAAATTAAATTAGTGGAATAATTGGAAATTTTAGGTGAAACAATAAAGACAACCAAACAAACAGTTGTGACAAACGAACCAAGACTTTCCACCTCAAAAATATTGACATTTATGAATCGTCACATTTTACTTCTGGCAGTGTTTACTCTGATTAAGCAACACCAATAAGGCCGTCCACATCGATAAGTACCTATTTACTCTTTCACTTTATTTTTGTTGAAATGGACATAATGTATTGATCATTTTTAGGTTATGAAATTTGTTTAGATTATTTTCAGCATTGTGAAGGAACAAACTGTGTTGAAGATGGAGAACATTTTTAATAACATTAGACAGCGGAACGATGAGTGCTTATAATTTTGACTACCTATTTGTTTCCAGAGAAAAACGTTTTTACTCCTTTAATTGTAGAAACTGCAGAACATACAAATGTAGAATATCCTCTACTACATATGTGGGGATTTATTTTAGAAATGTTTATCACCTCATTCTTGTTCCAAGTGTGTTGAAAATGGGAATACTCAGTATGAAGTGAATGAAATGACTGAACAGGTTTCCCATGTTGCATGGCATTTCAATCGACCAAATCTATTTGAAGGATTAACAATGCTGTCATTAGGATTTTACGAGTGTATTAAAAACAGGATAACGTCTTCTGTGAAAGTTTTCAGACACTGGCTTTAGGTTCAAATGTAGGCTTAAGTTAAAGGAGCTGCTAGCAACTATTAATTACGCTCTCCCATGTGATAATTTTCAAATAGAATATTTGCTGTCTTTGTAAGAATGAGTATATTCCACTGAACAAAATTTGCCAATATGGAACGTTTAAAGTCAGCACGACATCAGAAAAAGCGAGATCGGATAATAGTTTACGACATCTGTGAAAGTTGTCAAGTCAAGAGTGGAACATTCGAATTTAGGATCCACCTTTTAGGTTTTTATTCTACTCATGTTTGATGTATTTGTTAGTTTTTTTACTTACTTATTTAACTTTAGAAATATGTTTATATTTAGCATTAGACTGTTATATTCCTTTCTGTCAGTTTTTGTTAGACGTCTATATTTTTCGTATATTAGACTGTGATATGTTAAACTGTTGGGCTTTCTTCTAGTCATTTTTTAGTGGTAGGTATATTTATTTTTATATTAGTTTTCAGATAAAGGGAGGCTCTGATTAATATACGTAGACTTGTCCTGTCCCTTTCCAGTAAGCATTAGCTATCCCGCTCTACGATCACATTATCTGAAAAGTTTTGAGTCGTATGGTATTATATGGCTAGGATATTTTAAACGCTGTTGTAACTGTTTTAGTGCCTACCTAATTATTAAGGGGGGAATTCACGAAAGTCGGTCTGCAAACCGTTACCGGGATTGCAACTTGCAAACAACTTGCAAGTGGATACCGACATTTCGATAAAGTAATTCACGAAAAAATTGCAACTTACCAGCAAGCTAACGGACCTTATCGTACCGATTACTACGTACCCATGGAAACCAGATAAATAAAATTTCAAACAACGACAAAGTCATGAGAAAGTTGTGACAGTTATACAGTGCCAAATACAATAAATTATAAAAAAAATGGGCCATGGAGTGAAAAAAGACGGTGAAAGGAGAAAACGGAACCCGAATTTTACGTCCCCAGAAATAGAAATACTAATTGCTGAAGTAGAGGCTCGGAAAACGTATCTATTCGGTGAGCTCAAGGGGCCTATCTATACACAAGCGACTCGAGATCGTGCATGGACAGCTGTTGCAGAAAAAGTAAACGTTGTGTCGCCTGTGCTTAGATCTATACAAGACCTGAAAAATAAATTTGCCGATTTAAAAACACGCACAAAACAAAAGGCGAATCAGTTATGTCGCGAAGCACGGAAAACTGGAGGTGGCCAGAATCCAGCGGCCAAATTGACAAACTCGGAAGAACTGCTTTGTTCTTTTATAGGAAAAGAAAGCATCGAAGGTAAAAAAAAATATATTGTATCAATGAATTTTATATTTTATATTTTTCTAGACATCAAAAAAGGCTTTGATATAGGAGTTCCCTCGACGTCTTCTTACGCATCTGAGTCAATTGAAAACACGCCATCGTGTTCAACTCACAATGAAGACCTTGGAGATGGAAATCATCAGTTTGAACCACAGACTACCCTCTTTGAACTTATTGCACCACCATCGCCGTTCACAACGCCACTTATGGCAGATACGGAAGAACGTAAGAGAGATTTGTAATGTGATGCAAAAATTATTACACCATAATTTCTTTACAGAAGAAGTGCTTACGTCAGCAATTACACCAAAGCAACGCACAACTTTAAAAAAAAATTAATAGATGTGTCTGTGTCTACAAATGATCATTTATTGAATATCTACGGGGAACTGAGAACACTGAATTCTACATTAAAAAGAAAATTAGAAATTGCGGAAGAAACACTACTCTTAAAAAAAACGAAAAATTCAGTTACTTGAAGAAAAAACAGTTCAAAAAAAAAAAAATTATAGATGTACATATTCGATATTAATGTTAATTAAAAGTTTCTTTTTGGTATAAACTGTAGATAATTTTTGGAAAATATTTCATTTTTCAACGCGTAAAGCTATCTCTTATTAACACATTACGAGCGTTAACGTCGTACATGTCTTCTTGGTATGGGGCTTGTTGACGATTTTCTGCTATAAGTTGCATAACGTCTTCATCAATATCCATGGGTTCTCCTTGATGAACACAAATATTGTGCAGTACACAACAAGCAATGATAATAGAACAAACTCGCTATGGACTATATGCAAGGGCAACCACCTGTCATTGACAAGCAGCGAAAGCGAGATTTTAGAGCCCCATTACAACGTTCAATAGTATTTCTTGTAACTATATGTACAGCATTATAAAGTTCCTCTGCTTGTGTTCTTGGATTTGCTACTGGTGTCATCAACCAGTTTTCCTGAGGGTAGCCAGAGTCACCTAAAAACAATGCTTTCAACATACTTTTTTCAACTATTATGATCGTCATTTACCTATGAGCCATCCATCAGGAAATACTCCATCTAAAAACGCAGTTCTTAACGCACTGTTTCGCCATATATATGCATCGTGATTGCCTCCAGGATACGCGGCCAACACATTCAAAATTCTTAAATCGGGCCCACAAACGAGTTGTACGTTAATACTGTGGTGAAAAAATTTATCAACGTACTGGTCTGGATTCTGTGATGGTTTCTGAAGACGTACGTGCGTGCAATCTATTGTACCAAGTACATTTGGGAAGCCACAGTGAAATCTCCCTGTGTTACCAATACTATAAAACGTTTGTTTGATTCCAACCTGCTCTTGTACGCTCGGAAATTTTATGAACTGATCAGAAATTTCTACAAGAGAATCTACCACATCATGGATGATTCTACTTGCAGACGCTTGTGAAATTTGAGTGGTGTTTCCGATTAACCACTGAAATCCTCCACTAGCTAAGAATTGCAATGTCACATACAACTGAAGATCGACAGATACGGCGTTCGATCGTTTTGTTTTTCGGATTAAATCATTTGCAATTAAATTTCTTACATAAATAAATGTTGGTCGCGTCAGTCGGGTACTACGATACAAATTTAAATCGGATATACTATTGATGTTAAAAGCTTGTCTTTGAATGACCTCTTCGTTATTACTAAAAAAGATTTCTTCGGCAGCTAGTACATGAAACGCCATCTTGAAAAGAGTTTCGATAGCTACAAAAGTTTGAACTTGAATAACGATAAAAAATGTTAAAAGGGAAACCTTTACCTATTCTGATGTACTGTTTTAAGAATAAATACGAAATAAGTTCAATTACTTTAAATGTAACTGTGTTTGCAGCAGACCACAACCTTCCGCAGTTTACAAACACTTATCGAATATTTGCAACGATTTGCAAAATTTGAAGAATTACCTTTATCTATGTTTACTGGTTGCTATGGAAATTATTAGCACGCTTTGCAATCTGCGTTTATGAATTACTTTATCTGAATTTGCAACTTGCAGACGCTTATCTGGCGTTACCGGCTTTCGTGAATTCCCCCCTAAGTAGATAAATATTTATTTATTTTGTGCATTATTAGGGCGTATTTATTTTTGTCAATAAATAAATGAAATATGGTTATTTTTTACAAATAAATTTGATTAATTACATGGTACTTTGCTCTTGTGGTTCTTTATAATTTTTTCCCTTCTCTAATGTGAAAACGTGCAGTTTCAAGTGACTGAAAGCAAAAATTCCACTAATGTAATCGTTTACAAAGAAAACTAGTTCTCTGCAGTTTTAGTGCAATATTTGTAACATATACGTAGCAATGGCCATCCAAATCATTTTGTTAATTTTTTGAGCTTTTTACATTAGAAAGAGTTCGTACAATACTGATTGCCAAATATTTACACAACAGCTGGGGCCTTGATCAGAAGTAAAAAGAAAATTTGCGTAATAAGAAATCTACTATCTTCAGTTTTTACATCTTTTTATTACCATAAAAGCTGTTGTAAAATTGATAGTTGTCATTCTCAATTTCAAATTAGTCGTCACAAATTTCAAATTAGTCGTCACACAGTAAAGATGGCCTTTTTAAACAATTGTACATTAATCATCAACGCAAGTGATCTGCGAACACGTGTAGTGGCCCTAAACGGGGTAATTTCAATGGATCCTTTTCCCCTGTTTCCTGGAGGCTTGACGGGATTTCAAATACCGCCCCAGCGCTTGGATTTGACCCCTTACAACTGGGTACTTATATGGTTGCATCCAGCATTGAAAATCACGTTGATATTCGACTCGCGGGATCAAAAAGTAGAATTTATCAACAAGCTCAATTTAGCAGAAGAGAATATAAGTTCAGATGAGACCGCCTCTGCGTCCTCTTCAAACCCTTCAACAGATCCAACCGTGGACTCTGGTTATGATAACACACAATAATCAACAAAACAGCGCCTCTGCGCCCTCTTCAAACTCAAACTATAATATAATTTTTTTTACAACTTGTTTCTGCAAAATTCGTGATCATTTTGATGTATGTATTTGCATATTTAAGATGACTATTAATTGTTGGTCAAAATTTTGGTATATTTTCGGACTCGGGATGCGTTAAAGACATTTGTTGGTGATGTGGCAACTACGACAATGGTACTAAGCGGCAATACGGCATGCGCTAGGGGCCCGTTTTTTAAATGTAATGCGCACGCCCCGCCGAGATCAAAGGTACCGACAGCAAGTGGAGTATCACGTTCATCACTGATATAACTACTATATACTGTTTTAACGTCCTTCTTAATTTCAGTTCTAATTCTTTTAAATTCATCATGAGTTTCCGTGTTCCCAGTTTGTCTGAATTTACGTAATAACTTCCACTTGCGCTTCAGCTTACCAATAATAACTGGAGTAAACCAGGATGGAAAATTTGAGTTACGTCTATAACTAGATTTTGGTACATGCGAGTTGATTGCAGTATTTATCTTGTCA